TTTAGTGTCACTAGTTTATATATTTATTTGAGACATTTTTACCCTGGCTTGTATCTGAGAATGAATCTCTTCATGGCTTACAAAAGGTCAACACCATAATTTCCAATTATAAAAATAGAAAAAGAATTCTATGTCATATATTAAAAACCAATCAACCATTAAAATCTTGGGTAAATAAAAAGGTTTTGGCCTGGTACCAAATGAATAACGTGTCAGTGCTAGACATACCTCTCCCTATAGCAGATTTCATAGCTGGAGCGCTACCACAGAAAAGGCCCTTCCTTGGGTAGTCACTCTTTTAACCTCTTTCAGAGAGGGCTTCCAGAGAAGGACCTCAAAGTAATGGCAGGTGTATATGGAAGGAGACTTTCCTTCATATATCCAGGCCCTAAACCATTTAGGGCTTTATATGTCAAACTTAACCCCTTAAATTGGCCTGGACTTTAATCAGTAACCGATGAAGATGGTATAGGACTGGCATTATGTGACACTATTCTGTACCAATTGAAGTATCCAAACTGTTTTTAAGGGTAACTTCATGTATAGCATGTTACAATAGTCCATTTGGGAGGTTACCAGAGCATGGATCAGCTTTGCCTGTTCAGGTAAGTTGATGGACCAGCCAAAGCTTAGGGGAGTGCAACTTGATCAGGAACAGGGCAAATATCAATCACCACAACAGACCCACCTACCAACAGTAACTATGTCTTATCTGGATTAAGCCTCAATTTATTGGCCCTCATCCAGTCCATTACACTTTCTGGGCACTGACTCAGAACTTTCACCACCTCACCTGGACTGGATAAAAAGGAGAGGTAGAGCTGGGTGTCATCAACATACTGGTGACACCTCATCCCAAACCTCTGGATGACCTCTCCTAGTGGTTCCATGTAGATGTTAAACAGCATGGGGGATAAGATGGAACCCTGTGGTACTCTATTGCTGTGGCACAGAGTCATAATCCCCCAGTGACACCATATGGAATCAGCCAGCTAAATAGGAATGGAACCACCACAAAGCAGTACCTCCAACCCTGAGGCCTATCTGTTTTGGGGACTTTCAACACCATGCATAAGGTTATCTCCCTCAGGTCAAACGGGAAGTCTGTTGGGCAGCAGAGTGGACAGTACAACAACAAAATCCCTAATCTGTCTTGATTACCCAACCCCAGATCCATCTTTGAGTGGACAGGAAGCCTAGAGAGAGGAAATGAATTCTTATAGACTACTGACACTCCCCCTCCCTGACCCCAAAGATGAGGCTGCTGCTACACCAAATACCCAGGTGGACATAGCTGGCTAAGTGTAATGCCTCCCACCTCCCAGGTCTCCATAATACATGCCAGGTCAGCTCCTTCATCCACTATTAGGTCATGGATGAGGGATGTTTTATTCTGGGCTGACTTGGCATTCAACAGCAGCAGAACCAAGCCAGAGGGCAAGTTGAAACAACTGACTGGCATCATCTGGTTGGAAGGAGAAACCGAAGAGGCAATAACCATAAGATATCTGACCTCTTTTTCTGACTTGCTAATTTCTCAACATCATACCTTCCCCTGCAACTAAGTAGGAGCACCCCATTGCTCCTCAGGATCCCCCATAAACATCATAAAAATATAAAACAAATATGAAACTGCTCTTTGCTTGATTAGAATGAATGGAACATGATAAAATATTTAGGCAGCCCAGCATTTGAAAAATAATTTAATAAAGGTCTGTTTGATCCTTAACAATAACAATAATAATAAACCCAAAATACTTAGTGCAGTAATGGAGCCGTGAAACCTGTCACATGCTTCATAGTGAACCAGAAAGCAAAGGGCAACTGTGGATATATTCAGTAGTTAGCTAGATGGTGCTATGATATACAAGACTAAACTTGCCTTTATGTTACTGTCTTTAAATGCAAGTACTAGCCTAATCTGTAACAGAACACTTTGTCCTCAGTGGTTGCCTTCACTGTCTTTGAAGGTTCAGTCAACAGAACCACAATATCCATAGCATGTTCTTTAAGGACATTTGTCTGCACACAAAAATGACTTTGAGGCACAGCTTCTACATTTGCTTGCTTGAAGGGAAGTGTTCAGCAATCTGGTTGAGACATGTAACTAAATGAAATGCATTTTGTAATATTTAGATGATAGTCCCAATATTTCATCGGGTGGTAGGAATAATATGTGTGATGCTGTCTGCTCACAGGCAACTAAATAAATGGACAAAGTTAGCAAGAGTGATGGATTTCTCAGTACTATTCATAATTAAATTGCTCACTCCTTCATTCAGGCCAGAACACTTTTATTGCCCTCTCTGTATCTTCCAAAGTGTTTTGCCTGCTACATCTTCCTATGTAAGCTTCTTTACCATCTCAGAGTCAGTGCTTCCACTGCATACATGAACACACCGATGCCCACAACTGTCTGCTAACTGGTAAAATTGGCAGTCTATCAAAGCTCATGTCCCCAGCAGACCAGTGAAATTCCCACAATGAGGAGACCAATTTGGGCTATTTTTCTGGGATTCGGGCTGGACTATACCTTCTTGAGACTCTGCCTTCTTTAATAAGGGTCCCCAATGCTTTTGGACATGTGGGCATATTGGCAGTTTGGGAAACCGCTGTAGACACCACCACAAAATGCCTAATTGTCTATTGTTCCTCTACCTGTCAAATCTTAGGCTGTGTCTTTTTCAGTAAAGACACAGCTTAGGCTGTGACATAACTTCTCCTTAATGAGATCTTTTCTAATTCAGCAAATAGTTGGTGGTACAATACTGCTCATATGTGTTTTGGTGGTGTCCAGTGGTTGCTTTTGGAGGGGAGAAGGCTACTATACAGACAATTTTTGCACTGGAAGTGTCTTTAATGCTCACTGATGTGCATTCTCATTTAAATTATTTCCTTCATGGAAATGGACACATGGAAGGGAAATAGATTTTCTTTGCTATTTTTACAGCTAAAACATTGATGTTAAAAAATTGGAAGGATGAACACTAACCTACTATAATGTAATGGATCAAAGACCTTACAGTGCTTTCCATATATGAATGGGTAGTATGTAGATATCAGCTTCAAATGGGTACTTTTTGAGTAATTGGTGTGCTTTTGTTGAATTGTATAATTTCCATAAAGCTGTAGACATTTCATATGTATGTATATACATTTTAAAAACTAGAAAAAGTTTACATTTCTCCTGGTATCCATTGACCTCACATTGGCAGTCCATTCATGGGTGTAATTGGAGGTGCAGCACTGGGTACCCCAATTATAAGAGGTGTCAACTTTGCTTGTCTACTGAGTTTTTCTCCATTTTCTTAGGGACCTTCAGGTATTTCTTTGTACGTTGTTCTCCTTCCTCATTGTCCGTACATTGTTATGGAGTTTTCATAAACTCTGCTAAATCCATTTGATTGATTATCCTCGTGTCTGTCTATGAGACTTGAGTATGCTTTCCTCACTGTTGATGGATCTGCAAGTAGATACAGCATAGTGACTAGAGCGTGTGAGCGCAGATCTGCCTTGCCTTAGGCACAAACATTCTTCTTGGCCTGAAAAGAACCATTATTTTCTCATTTTCCAAGAGCACTCATGCTGACCAAGAGTGCAAAGCTTCTATGAGGCCTGTTGTGATAAAAGGATATTATGTACTGTGTTAGACTGTTGGTCAGTCCACTGCAGGGTTCACACAGACATTTTTCTAACTCTTCCTGGAGATGCCAGGGATGGAACCTGGGACCTGGCATGTCCTCCGTGTGCGCTGAGCCACTGAGGTACACAAAAGCATTTTGAAGAGTCAGAAGCATAATGAGCCTTAGAGACGCTTCCCTCCAGGGGAGAATGGGATCTAATGCTAAACTGGGCAGATCCAAGCTATCCATTTTCACTCAGTTTGGGTGTAATTTAGGTGCTGGACTGGGATTCAGGAAAAATGGATTCTAGTCCCTCCCTGGCCCTGAAGGTCACTGGGTGACTTTAGACTAGTCACTGATTTTCAGTTCAACCTTCCTCACATGGTTGTTGTGAAAGGAGATCATATTAGTTCTCTTGGTTCCTTTCAAGAGGTGGAAAGGTAGAATATGAAAGCGATAACTGATTTTTAAAAAATCTCTCTGTGTGCTTTCTCTTTGTCTCCATCTTTCTCACACTTACACACACAGATTCTCCTTCCCCGTTCCATGTACAGCAATTACGCCTTTTAAAAAGTCCCACTGAAGTCAATAGGATGATTTTTTTAAACCTTCTATAGCAAGGAATGGGGGAGTTGCAGGTGGAGTGTGATTAACTTTTGCATTGCCATTCCCAGTTGTGTGGCAGTTAGGCTGGAAAGAAAGGCCATTTGTGAAGGCCTTGTGGGCCACATCCTGTTCACAGGCCACTGGATCTCACCTGTAATTCTGAACAGCGGGATAAAGACTGACTGTTCCATTGCTGTATCAGGTGCTTTATTATAATGAATGTTATGGTTAAAATAGCGCTGCCTTAGGAGAACTCTTGCCCTAGCATCCTAGAAATGTTTGAAGTTAATAACAATAAACAGATAAGTGCCAGAGATTATTGCATTCATTCTCTTTTCAAAGATCATCAGAAACATTCCCTCTGCATTAACAGGAACTTTATAATTGCCTCATGTGCTTTTTCACAGTGGTCAGAACAGTTCCTGAACACTGATTGTAGTTTTAGTTTATTTGTTGTTGACATCAAGCAGCTTGGTATTATGTTAGCTTTATTGCAAGATAGCTGCTTCCTGTTTTGCTTCCTGGCTTGCTTTCTTCCTTTTGATGTCCTCAGTTTGATTCCTTGTGATTTGATTTCACAGAATTCTGTATGTTAAAAACCATTTCTTTTAAATAATTTCTTAATTCTTCTGCCCTGCTTCCCATTTCCTTTCTTCATGCTTCAGCTTTATCTAGGTTGCACTGGCATCAAATACTCTCATGATTTGATGACAATTAGAGTTGGAAATCGTGTTGCATTATATCCTTTCTCATTCTTTTCCCCCTTGGTAGCAACAAATGAAAACAACCTGGAGGTGGAGAGGCTGTGAAAGGAAGGGGACAGTCTAGACTTCCAAACGGTTTCCCTTTCCTGACAAAGGCAGATCATGTTTCCTTCCTAAGGAACATGGCTGTGAAGTCACTGAATTGTTTTCAGTCCTGGTCTTCCTGAAAATGCTTGAGTCAAGATCTGACTGAAAAGAATGACTCACAGAGACATCAACCTATTGAAGGTAAGTGAACACACTAAAGTTTCCCTCTTTTCCTTGGTCTTCCTGAAATAAAGATCTGTTTGGAGGTGGGAGGGTGAGAAAGAAGAGGGTGGTACCAATATCAACCAGAATGTTAAAGAGGGAAAGAAAACAAAGATGTTTGTCATACTTCAAATAATAAGTATTCTTTCTATATGAGTTTACCTGCAGTGAGTTATTCTTACCATTTGACATAAATAAAATCGCTGTGATGAGGCTGTACACCTGCATTATAATTATAAGAAGTGGAAAGAAACTATTGAAAATAATGAACAGTGTGGGAAGAGGTAGGACAAAGTGAATCTGCTGAGCAGCAGTCCACCATAGTCTTAATTAAAGATGGACCCCCAGTCTTTTTATCCTTTTGGCTGGGGAAGTAGGTTACTCCATATAGACACCACCCAGGACAGAATATTGCAAAAGTTTTTATCTAGAAATTACTGGACCCAGGATGACTGTACAGGTTAGGATTGCACAACCTTGATTCTGATTGAGCCTGACTCAAGTTACATTAGATCAAGTCAGTGCCAGTGCAGGGCTTATAGAATGATGTTGAGTTGAGAAACTCTGTTGGATTTTCACTCCCATGCTGGACTGCTTACATACCTGTATTACAGGTCTGCTTTCTGTAAGAAACAGTATGACTGGTATAACATGTTAAAAAAAGGTTCTCCTGACCAGCTAGGAATTAAACAAAAGTGTCATATCTGGGGAACATTGTGCTATGAACCCGAATCTTCAGGGGAAGTACAGCTCCATCAAAATTTACACCCATACCTTTCTCATCAAAGTAGTCCTTAAATTGTACCTGCTATGGGTTTGATTTGGTCTGCCTGTATCTATTGCATCCATGAGTGGTGATAGTTGTTCCCAATGTCCACCATTTCATCAGGATCTGACAGAAATGGGAGATAGAGCTGAGTATCATCAGCATATTGTTGGCACTGTAACCCAAATTTCTGGACACGTTGAATTGTTTCATTTATACACATAACAACAAGGCAAATAAGATAGTGCACTGTGATACCGTGTAAATCAAAAGCCACACTGTGGAGCACTATATATGTAGCATTCTCACAAGCACTATATGTGTATACATTCTCACAAATAGTGCTGCTCAATCCCACTGCAGTGAGGTGTCCCTCATGACTGTTGATACTGGAGGTCACTGAGAAGTCCAGGACAATCAGCACGGTTAAATTCCTGTCCATCTCCAGATGCAAATCACAAGACTGACTAAGATTCACTGCTGAGACCTGCTTGGAAGTTACATTGCAGTGGTTCAGACAATAGTTTCTAATCTTGAAAATGTCCCTTTTGTACAGGTAATTTATGGTCTCTGTAATGTGTCATCAGTAAGTTGGCAGTGTTACCTAGCAGTGCTTCTAGCATTGTCCATTTGAAGAGCAGTCCTGATGTACCATCTTCAGCAACGTTCACAAATTCTTACTATGCTAATATTTGCAATTACTGCCAGTATCTCCATATTTTCCTCCTCCTGCCATAAAACCTTCGTATCTTCCACTGTTAAAACTTTGGTAACTGTTGAATAAAGCAGTTTTCGTAGCAACCGGGTCTTCTGAGGACAGAAGGGTTCACCAGGAATTAAGTGTAATAGTTTTCCAGCTACAATCAACAAATAGAAATTTATTGCTGGAGAAGAGAGCCAGCATTTGCTCTTTGAACTTCTGTCATGGCTTTCAGGGGAAGTTGTTAGGGGCTGGATTTAGTGTTAACTTCCCTGTCTAAGAGTCAGTACATCTTATGTTCATCTGAGGTCAGTGTGAGAAAACAGAGCTAAATTGCTTAAGTTGTATTGCAACAGCAACAAATTTGTCTAAGAATGCTTGTCAGATATTACCATTGAATGGTTCCTGTTAAAAATGCAAAAGGAGTATTTCCCCCTTCTGGCAGAACAATGCCATAAGCAAACTTTCCTTGGAGATCTTAGAAGAAACTGGCTGTTCAGGGCCTGGAAACTGATCAAGTTATCTGTAATCTAGGCTTTCTTTGAAACATTAACTTTACATTTTCATGAATACTTGTTTTCAGGCAATCTTTTGAAGACACCTGAGAGGCAATGCCCTTTTCAGGTATTGGGCCTGCTGATGATGTGATTATTGAGGGATGCATGTGTATGAAAACTTTTCATTTGTAATTGTTCCAGGAACCCATGGGAACAAGCTGATCTTGAGCTGAGGATAATTCCTTTGTGATTAAGAGCCCTGTTTTGATGGGGTTGCAGCAGAGCAGGGCAGGGCAGGGCAGAGCAGAGCAAGCTTAAAGAAGCGAGGAGATGTGTGAGAAACAGCAACTGTGTCCTCTTTCTCTGCTCATGTCTTGTCCCCCTGGTATCTCAGGCTGCTCTAGGAAGTGCCTGTAGGACCATTATGGCAAATTGTAACCTGGCATTCTTCTCTGTTTGCAAGCCCCTTTGGCAAGGGGTTTGAGAAAATGGGGTTGTCGTTTGGGGTTTTTGAATCTGTTAGGTTTGTAGCTTTTAGTAGAATTTTAAAGTGTCATTTTAGTACCACTCTGTCTTTGCATTACAGTTCTGGATAAAATGGACTGCCAAGAGTTGAGAGTTGGGTGGGATCACTGCAAATGTGTATTATGCCATTATTCTGCACAAATGCACCAAAAATATCACCATGAGGTGGAGAGGGGAAGGGGAGAAAGAATATAAGAAATTTGGAGTGAAATTCCAAAATTCAGTTTCCTGAGAATCTCAGCTGATTTTGCTCTTATGCTGAGAAAGAAAACACACCTAATTGTTTCTGTACTGTTTACTCAGCATATATGTTTTTGTCGTACTTGCAAGCTTCTGACATCTTGAAACTCATTGTTATTGTTTGCATTGGTGATTTTAAAGGTTTCTACCTGTCGTGTCCATTAGGGAGAAGCTGCTTCCTATCTTTCCTCCCCTACCCCCTCGGGTGCTGACATTTAAGGTCAGGTATGTACTGACGGGTGCTTGTTTGTGTGGGTGTGTGTCTACATTCTGCTCCTTTATGTCAGGTGCATAATAGAGCAGCACACATTTCTTCCAGCCAGCCCACATCCTTCACCCACAGAGCCTGTGAAGCAGGTGCAGCAGCATCAGTCGGGGGAAACCCTCAGTTAATGCGCCGTTGGAGCAGGTGCATGAGGGTTCCTTGTTCGGTCATGTGAGATCCTTGCTGCAGTTCATCAGCTCCTGATACTTCTTACACTTTCCCTATTCCAGCAAGAGTGCAGCATTGCATTTGCATTCTGTAGACTGTCCTTTTTGTTGGGGTGGGGTTCGGGAAGAGAGGAAGACATTGGAACCACTTTATCCTAATTTACAGGGAAGGTGGGCACATGGCACTGAAAGACCTAAACCACTTTGCTTGTTATGCGGTGGGCATTTTGAGGATTCAATATTTTCCTGGCTGGTTCATCCCTTTGCTCTGAGCTGTGGAGGTTGGAGTGGGCAGCAGAAATGGAGTAGATCCCTCCCCTTCTTGCTATACTGGGAAAGAAAAAACGGGGAGAGTGGATTGGAAAGGGAAAGGTAGGACCTGTTGGTGGGCAGGGTAGGAGAGCACATGACTGGAGAGCTTCTAGACATTTGTGCCTTCTGTGATTTGCTACCTTTGTTTGGCTGCTTCTATTATTATCATTATCATATTATTATTATTACTACCACCACCACTACTACTAATACTATTATTGCATTACATTTCTATACCACCCATAGCCAAAGCTGTCTGGGTAGTTCACAATATTTAAGTCATTCATCCAGGTTTCAACCAGGCCTGATCCTGCTTAGCTTCCAAGATTAGGCAGGATCAGGCACTTCAGGCTATGCAGAAACATATGGTTAGGAATGTATATCTGAGATTTTTAAGAGCTAGTGGCTTCATCAGAGCTGATTTGACTGGATCCCTGTGGCCTCTTGACTGCACAACTCACTGCAGCGATCGCTTTTGTTACTGCATCTTTGCAAAACTGTTCATTAATCTGCACAGAGATTTGGAACATTCTGACGGCTAGGCAACTAATGACTGATAATTGCCAGTGGGAAAAAAGAGATTAGGGCTTACCCTGACATCTTGTTTGGTTCTCTTTCATTTTTATGCTTAGCAATGTTTTAATTCTGCCTGCTTAAAGCTCATCTATTAACACAGTTGTGTGGCTAAAACTGAGACAGCAAGGCAGCTTATTAGAGTTCAGTAGACCTCAGGATATTCTCAGAGCTGTAACACAGTTATGTGATGGTGCGCAGTAGAAAGGATTAACACTGAGCGTCCAGACCTCTGAGAGTTACAGGGTTTGAAACAACAAGCTCAGTAGCTTCAAGAGGGTGATCCCAGGATGGGTCAGGGCAAATGGGACCATGGTTTGGTTCTGGGGAATGAAAAGGCCCTTTCCTCCTTGATTGATTTACACAGTTGTAGTTTATAACTATAAGGTCTCACATGGTTCAGTACCACAATACCTGCTAGAGCACCTCTCCTAGCATGAACCCTTACATGTACACTACTTTTGGCATCTAACTCCTTCCTCCATGTGTTTCTTCTGAGGGAGAAGGTGGCAACAAGGGAGAGGGTCTTTTTGGTAGTGGGCCACCGATTTTGGAATGATCTCCCTGATGAAGCCTGCCTGACCCTGTTATTTTTTCTGTACCAGATTAAGCCCTTCCTCTTGTCAGCCATTTAATAGCACATGATGAAGTTTTAATCAGGTTTCGGATCATTTGTATTGGTGATTGCTTAACATTGTTTAAGTTATACATGTGTCTTGGTTTTTGCTTGATGTTTACAGAGAATCATAGAATTATAAAACCATGTGTGTATACACACACACACACACACACACACACAATGGTATTGGCTCACAAACTTAATCTGTTCCATGATTCTGGTCGCAACCCAAATTAGTTGTGACCCAAGTCAAATTTCCCTATAAGGTTTAATGGAAATAAGATTAATCCATTTTGTAACCATTTTTTAAACAAA